TTAAATTATTCCCATAGCTGATGTAAATTCCTCGTGTTACAGCACAAACCAGTAAACTTCTTTGTGATTATGTTCTGCGGATTATCTGAAGCAGCGGGGTCTAAACAGAGCAATACCCAAAAAACGATCGTTGCATGCACGGTCTGTAGAAAAGACTCCAACTCAAACAACCTAACATTGTTTCCTTACACCGTACGCGCCTGCAAAGTGTGGGTACTGCGGTTTGAAACAAAATGCTTTGAAGCAACTGAAACATCAAAGAAGGAAAAGCAAAAAAAAACACCGAAACACTTTGTATAAGACATAATAGACGAAGAAATAAAGTACCCAGACGGGCAGGTCCAGGCCGTAGTGTAGGGAATGTGAGATGAAAAAAGCGGCAGAGAAAGACCCTCGTGGGCGGAGTCTGACTCCTACGGCATGCCTCCAGCGGCCTTGCCACCAGCTTCTAGATAGCGGAAGTAGGACATCCTTTGCGACTTGCAGACCAATTTACCTTGGGCAAGTATGGGATTCTAACGTCAGTCACGCGGATTACTGATACGGCACAGCACTAGTTTTAGGGAAGTAGTCTTTGATGAGAACTCTGGTTTACTCTCCAGGGCTCAACCTTACAATAACAGGTCTTCTGAATCATAACAAAAGAGAGGATAAAAAACTGTTGAATCCTTGTCCAATCATGGAGAAGTCAGTAAGCTAGCCGCTATCAGTTCTGCCTTTCCACCAGTATAAGTATTTTTTGGCTGATTACGGTTATATTGGGAGACTACACTTTTGGTGAAAGTCAATATCACGGCACACAGACAGGGCGCCCATAATAAGCGCTAAGAGCGGCTATGGCCGTGTAACTGCGGAGTGTTGCCGTCAGGGCAAAGATGGTAGTATTACGGCGTGGTTCATGAGATCCGAGTCGCGGCAAACTGGCAGACTATTTCCCAGCAAGCTGAGACACCACAACATTGTGAACTTGATTTCGGCGCGAAAACTGCTACATCACCTTTGCTGCAACTCAGGCCTGCTAAACTACCACGGAACCGCTTACGCTCCGTTGGACGAACGCTGCCTATAGATCTGTCATCTCAGCCCTGAACCAGCAACGTTTCATGAATATGCAGTCACCGTAGCGTCCACTACTGAGTCTGTGTAGACGCTCTCTCTGCTCACCGTGTTATGGGCGCTAACCATTGTGCTTCATCAGTTCGATGCTAGAATCGGTTCGTCTGCTGTGAGAAGGAACACTCCGACTAATAGCGATTACTGCACTACTACATTACTTCATTTACTTGCCAGACATACTTTTCCTTCCAGGTATCCATCTCCTTCTGGTAATTTTCATTCTGAGCACACTCCCTTGTAACGTGTTCTAACCACGACAGCGTTTCCGGCTTTTTCCACAGCTCAGCCGCCTCACTGACATAGATTTTGTAGACCATTTTCAAGCCGTCAGATTCCCTCAAATAAAGATGACGGTATCATTGCAGACGTTAAAAAGCTCACTTATTGAGAGCAAATGCTCCCAAATATCGGTGGGTTTCCACAAGAGGATCCGGCTCTATCTGCAGTTTGTCCAGCAATGCCGTCACTACTCCTGGGAACGCGCATATAGCATCGGAAGCTCAAAAAAAAAAAAAAAAAAAAAAAAAAAAAAAAAAAAAAAAAAAAAAAAAAAAAAAAAAAAAAAAAAAAAAAAAAAAAAAAAAAAAAAAAAAAACAGAGAACGAGCACAACGCATTAACCATTAATGTCAGCAAGTCATGTCTTCATCACGTTTTTTGAGCAAGAATTGCGCTAACGCCATCGAATAGCAAAAATTTGGCAACTTGTCCAGGTTTTTCCAGTCCTGTAATATCCATCACTGAACATTTTACACTGAGAGAGATTTTCTCTTCCACGCAGGCTTTGATATTATGGGCCTACTCTGCTTAATTAACATTATTCTCCTAATGTAGTATTTTTTCGCCAAGAATCAGGTTCGCACTAAATGTGGGAGCAAGACCATGTATGGCGTAACCCCTCAAAGTCGTTCGGGAAGTGATAGAGCACTTTCACAATTTGTTAAAAAAACAAATCAGTGAGCAACAAATCCTGGTAGACGGACAATCCAGAAGCTTCTCGCATGGCCGAATATAAAGACTGCTAGCGCTTGGTCTCAAATTTATTTCGCTTTAAAGCACAAATGATTAGATCAAATTATCATCTATTGAGAGTACTGCCGGAGAGGAGACCAGCCACATGTGAACAACAATATGATCACACAATGGGCGATGGGATCGCCAAATTATAAACTCATTGGTGACATCATTACTTCTCATCTACCTTACCCTGGAGGACTTTGGAAGAACAAGTTCTGCTGCTGGTGCGACTTGCGGGGATGCTCTACCAGCATGAAGGATAAAGGGACAAAGCTGACTTCTGTACTTTTCAAATTCAGGCATTTGCCATGGCCATCTAAAAATAGGCCGAAGGGAGAACGAAGATGTTTTCGGAGTTCACCAGTCTCCCCAGCTGCAAGAGGAATGATGGACTATGGTGCCGGCTCCCATCCACCGTACTTACCCGTCAGCCCCTCCGAGAGGCTAAGGGAAAAACGAACCATCTGTGTTGTGTAGCAGTTTCCAACAAATGTCTACACCTTCTTTTCTTATTGCATGTCCCGATCCGTCAAGTTACCTCCGCAGGCCTGGCTGAGTGACGCAAAACTGCATACGTACTCTGTTGTACAAAGCACCCGGGCGTTACCGTTTAAATGGCCCAAATAGTAATAATTACATTAAAGATCAGTCGTAGTAGCAGTCCTAGTAGACTGAAATAAAGTTGTTAGGTGCAAGAGCCAATTGAAATACACCTTAAAGGTACGGTCCGCGATCAGGTATAGAAGTTAAAATATGGTACCGGGAGGGTAGTGTGGTCCGCGATGAACAACCTTGTACCGGTTTCGCGGCAAAAAATTGTAAGGGAGGGACGCTATAGCGTAATATAGGTTCAGTGACGCCTCCTTTTTTCCAGTGACTCCGCCTATAAACTCCGCCTCCAAGGCCTGCCTTTCAGTGAAAAACGAGGCTGCAGGACGAAAAAGCATGAAAATCGTCACTTGTACGGTCGTAGAGTTCTTATCGGGGAATCAGCTGTGCGGATGAGGGCGTAGTGTTGAGATGAAGTTAATTAGGCACGTACATCTGGGATCAGAAGGGGTTTCATTTACGGCAGTATATTTTTTTTTCTTCTTTTTTTCAATATCGAGTTACTCAGCACCCTGTCGTTTATATACAGACCCCTTTTTTACTATCTGTGATAGTGAATAATAGCGTGTTTGCCTTTAACATCCTCACCGTCCTAATAGTTTCGCATTGAGTGTGGTACAAAGCAGAAATGATGAAGATAAGTGAACTCAAGCCAAGAAAAAGCTGGCTCGTAAACGGACACCGTGTTGTTAGTTCGCGAATCACTTTCAATGACTTTGTATAAGTTCTCCCCTGAAGTTTTTGTCTGCCCTAGACAGTCATGCGAACAATATTCGAGACAACATACCTTACAGCATCGATATAAATCCTTTAACCATTTATACTGCTTTGCTTTGATCGCAATTGTGTCAATTACAAGCAATACAGCGAGAGGATCCTCTGAACAGATAGCATTACTGACCCATACGAAATAAATAACCGATGTTTATTTGAGAAATGGAGCTGGAAAATCCCTCTCGACAAAAGACTTAAATTCGTGGGGGTTAAAGCCTGTTTAGTCAACGGCATTTGGTGCGGCTGAAGCGAAAAAATAATTGCGACCTATGGAAAAAAGGATTTCGCTCAAGCCTAGGGGAAATGAAGTGGGTCCAAAAGATCCTGTGTGCGAAAAGCGGCTTTCGCATTTCATGAGGAAGTTGCTTATTGCAGATTTTCACTCTTCTGACCAGGAAAGGTCAACGGGTTGCCAGCCTGGCCATATGCAATGAGGTGCACATCATTGTACTCGTCTTGAGACGGTGAACTCAAAACTATTTTCAAAATTTGCGGAACGATTCTCTGAGCGGAGTTATGGAGGTTTCTTTTCTTTCTTTTTCTTTTCTTCTTCCGGCGCGCTGGCGCCGAAGCGTTGGCACATGTAGCGCGACTCTCACAGCGCTCTTCGCGCAAAACAGGTATCATATTCGTGTTCAGGGGTCAAATAACCCCTAGAGACGGCACCTTAGCGAAATCTGAGGTTCTGACTCAGCTTCGAAAAAATTGGGGTAAGGTTAGTCATGGCTGACTCAACGATACTGCGACTAGCATACTGATGATGACTGGTCTGCGAGCTGAAATAACTCTTCAATCCTGTATTTTCGCAAGAACAATACCTGGCTCACTTATTCGTGCCGTCTGCATCATTTTCCTGATTACCGGTAGGAAATTCCATCCCAAGACCAGTCATCCATGGTGGGTGGACCCCAGCCTGCTGCTAATTGCCCATGGAATAGCCCCCATTTTCCAAGTTAGGTCGAAACGTCAGATTTGGCTAGTTGTCCCCAGGGGTAAATTGATCCACTGAACATGGATATCATGGTATTTTGCAAAAACCCTTGTAACATGTGTTACGAAGGGGGACAAGCACAAGCACTCTCTTCAGCCATAATGGGTCCACACTTCGAAAAAAACTGATCGCAGGTCCCCTTACAGGATGGTGCAGGCGAGCAGAGATGTTAGAAGCCTCGTCTGCCATACTCTTGGACAAATGCAAAATGTGGTACCCGAACGGACTTGATCCCACGATGTCAAACCTAGGAAACCTACTCACTATCCGTTGCGCTCTACTACCACGTTTCAGAAGGACTCCATACATTTATGTAAAGACGCTTCCACGTTTGCTCGCGATAGCATAAAAAAACTATGCGGGGATAAACCCCTCCATAACTCCGCTCAGAGACTCGTTCCGCAAATTCTGAAGACAGATTTGAGTTCACCGTCTCAAGACGCGCACAACGGTGTGCACCTCATTGGAAATGGCCAGGCTGACCTGATGACCTTTCCTGGTGAGCTTATTTATCTGATTTTCTGATACTGCTGCTTGAAAGTTCGTACAGTTTCACAGCTCCATAGGGAATTAAAACAATTGCCCAGTATGCCCGTGAAGCCTGCAATATGGCCCCATGGCGGATTAGCGCCTATAGGAACCCTTCATCAAAAAATATTCTGAAAGGAGAAATTTCCCCCTAGACGACCCAAAAGTCACGAACTTCTACTGCAAAGCAATAGCTCAGGAGAAAAAGCCGATGATAACGATGTAGAGCTGTGACAGCTGTCTGCCATAAGTAGACCCTAAACCTGTCAATAGGTCCTACCCTACCAAAAAATTACGTAATCAGTTTTGGCAATCTTATAGCAAGAAGTGGTTGCAAGTTCTGGGAAATTTACATTTCTTGCTTGCTTTCGTATTTTTTAATCTTCATGGAAAGGGCACTATTTACCCTTTACTGACCGACTCTTCAAAACTCCCTGCATTGCCCGTGGAGCGCATGTCAGGCAAACGGATGGGAACATCCTGCTCGAATAGCCAAAGTAACCCACGGTAAAGGTTTCGATCAAACTTTGGTCAGATTTTCGAAGAGTGGGGCGAAGAGGGTGAATTTGCCAAAAACTCATGATTTACGCCAGCCAAGTTCTTGTTCGAATGAAATTGTGAATTATAACTCTCTTACTTTGAGGATCCATGGTCAGTATCAGTTTCGCATAGTTGAGTGCCGTTTCGAAACATCTATAAGATACCGAAACTTAGAGATTAGTGGCACACTTCGATGGGAAGCACAACAAACCATTTGAAGACGTGAGTGTTTTGCCATTTTCTTTCCCTAATCTCTTTTCGGCAAGGTACGTAAAAACTATAGCTCTTCAAAACGTGAGGAACTGGTCAAAAGGGCAGAGAATACATGTGACAATCACCGCCTTCAGCCGGCCAGCTGTCTTCACCACAAAAACTACAGTCAGGTGAACATTTCTCCATTTTTAAAGAACATATTAACCAGTCAACTTACCGTTTATGAATGCAGTTCAGCATATGTCGATGCAGCAATAGATAAAATGCTCTATTCTCGTAGTCCAAGTAGTCTACGCGATGATAAAACGAACTCGGATGGAACGTGCTCGCCATTGCTTGCTCGCAGTAAAAGATTCCCCGCTCTTAAATCTCAGTAATTGATCTCTAACCAGATAAGTCCGCCAACTTACCATGGAACTTTGAATAGAGACCTGGGTAGATCGATAGAGTCTATAAGGTTACTTACAAATATAGACTGCATTTCATTTCAAAACTGCAACCTGCATTTCACAAACAACTTACGAGCAGGTAAACTTTGTAATGGTGCAGTAGGGTGGAAGCTTGTGGTGAGCTGTGAAGCATGAGCGAGGAATTGCGTACGACAAATCGAGTCGTGGTGGTTCAGTGGTAACGTTCGACGTTCGACGACTCGATTCGATGTATGCGATTCCTCGCTTAGGCATGCATTAGCCCACCACCGCTTCACCACTGCACCATTACAAAACTAACCTGCTCATAAGCTGCTCTAGCTGAAATGGCAGGCTGCAGTTTTGCTATCTGTATTTGTGAATGGACCTTAACCCAGACTCTATCGATCTACCCAGGTCTCCATTTCAAGTTCCATGGTAAGTTGGCGGACTTCTAAGGTAAGACAACATTGAGTTTTGTGGTTGCTATGACGTCGATAAACAACAAGGTCAAGATCCCTTATAAGAGTAAAAATGATCAAGAGGTAAAGCATCTGGCTTTGGTCAATTACTTTTCGTGATAAACCACGCATTGAACTTCCTTCGAAGTTATAGTGGCTTTGAATGTGCGTTTCGCTCATGCCTGTGACAGACTCAGGCCAACAGATAACTAATGCTTTCACGCCCCCAAAGAGTCTCGTGCTAACCGACTGAAGGGATGAAAGGCTTTGTGGGCCTGGGCAATATCAACCCCGGAAGTTAACTCTGAGCTTTCGCATGCAACTACACTACTTTCGACCACTTTCGCTTCCCTTCTAAGAAAACTGCACAAAAAACCAACCTATTAAATCACAAGACTGAGTGATATCCTCCTGCATTCGAAAAATGTTCGCCAGCAGAAGAAGGGAATTCAAGTGATATGGATTGTCAGTAAGTATTTCATCGATTATCCTATGATCAAGTGAATCTTCAGCCACCCAGCATAGTCTGGAATCATAGTAACTCGCTCGTTACAGCTAGTTACAGAAATATAAATTACTACTTTAATATGGGTAACAAGGACCTCTTCCAATACGCAAGCTGCAGGCAGATTTTCGAAAATTACAAATACAGTGAGCTTCAAGTTCGCCGAGAATAAGCGCGCTCGCGAGCATTTGCAGAACATTGACCTTTCAATGCGAAATACATGAGGTTCAGCAGCGGTCATTAGCACGGGCGGAAGCTGCCGCTTTTACAAACTTCTATGTCGCACAACGAAGAGAAGCGCATAAAGCTGTACATTAGTAGATTGGAAATCATAGTGAACAGGCTCCCAAATTTGTCAAGATTGGCGAGGGCGCAGTTTTTCGACAAATCGGGGGGCGGGGGCACTATCGCCCGACTTCTTGCTACTTCCCCATCGATGTTCCGCTATCCAGGGGAGACGGTAAAGAGGATCGTAATTCGCCGCACCGCCACGCGCGGCGATGGGCGCGGCGTTTTCATAACTCGTTTTAACCTGTCGAATGGAGCACCGGACTTCATGTAGACCCCGCCATCGTAGACACTCATTACTGTTTTCGGTCCTTAATTGCATGTTGTCGCCATCTACTGCCTGAAACCATCGTCCTTTGCGGGCGAGACGTCGCACGCGACGCCCAGCAGCGCGGCAAATTACGATCCTCTTGTCACATACCCCCCCCCCCCCCCCATCTAGACAGCCTCTTACCGAGTTGACAAGTTTTAACATGATGGCTTGACGACCTTGTTCCAGCTTCACAAGAGTTCACAGGTTTCGCCAGAGACAGATAAACCGGAACTAAGGAAGCAATGATAGTACAAAATGCCCCCTCCCGTCGAAAAACAGCGCCATTGGCGAGTCTATTCAATGTAGGAAAACCAAACCTTTCGAGTTGTTCGTAATGCGAATTATGCACGAACTTGAACCATTTCTCTTGGCCTTCTCCCCGATCTAGTTCCATAGACAAACCTGGAACATGCAATCATGTAACAAACCAGAGGGTCCAAATTCCAAATCTGAAAGCTAAAGACAAGGCAAGAGCTCACCTATGCTCCTAATAGGCGGCCACGTGTGCTTTTGCTTAACGAGTTTTCCCGCTTTGTTAGCTGTACGATGGGAACGATTCGTACTGGACGCAGCTTCCATCTAGTCAAAACAGGGATGACCATAGCCCAAATATCGGGAAATTTTGAAATCAGGGTAGCTGCCTACCTTGAAACTTTTTCCAAGCGCTCTCTTAAGCTCTGCAGCTGCATCAAAGAGTCGAGGATCAGGCTTAACCACCTGATCAACACCCAGTGGCTCGTACTCCTCTGTATTCGTTGCTAACGACCGATTCTGTAAGGAACAAATCTGAGCTGTACACTTTGGGATCCTTAGAGATGTGTACGTTCACATCTGCCCATAAATCCCTTGCTTAACGGTTCTCAAATCACAGCATTCGACAATGCCTAGGTAGTCATGACATGAATACGTCAATCCTCTGGCTCCTAAGCCGAATTATTCCTGTTGTTCGAACTCACCTCCAATGCGAGCTGTTCCAGTAGCTGCTCCTCATCCATTTCTTCCACCTGCTTTTTCTTCTGCTGTTTTCTTTTCTTTTTATTCCCTTTTCGTTCTTCTGCTTTATTGGATTGGGGAACCGCATCGCGATCTGCGCTCGGCTGGAGTTCCTCTGCATCACTTTTCCCGGAGCCATCTCCGTCATCTGGAAAAAAGATTCAGATCATCAATCCTCTGCGATGTAGCAAAACCAAGACCACTCTAAAGAAACAAGGCAAGACAAAAAAATGATATGTATTGAAAATCGATTAAGTTCCACTGAATCGCTTGAATAGAAAAGTGGATCTCGGCGTCATCTGTATCATCCCCCCCTCAACATCAACGAGCGGAGCAACCGTTCCCACGCCAGTGAGATGACGATTCAAAGAAATCAATTGGTATAACAGAACGCAGGACATCATGCCGATGAGAACTGCAGCACTGCGGTTGACCAAGAAAACCTTGGGGTTTCCAATAATCTCCATATCCCTTCTTGTAAAGTCGGCATGATGTCGAATGTTTAATTACTTCTGCCAAACGAGGTTGTTTAGATGAAACCTTTTTTATTGGCCTGACGTTTCGACCTTCTCGTCTTCTTCAGAGGCCTGAAAATGGCTCGAAGCTTTTAATTTCTTACTTACCCGCCAAGCGCCTTCCCCACTCTAGCGTTTCCGACCTCGTTTCCCTTAGGCCGCGTTCATAGCTTGCGACCATGAAGAAAGTGAAGAAGTGCCGAAAGTGAAGAAGTGCCGAAAGTGCGGAAAGTGC